TAGGAGCACAAAAAACAGCCACCACTCCCTGGGCACCTGATGTCCACGCACAGTCCTGCCTCTCTGCCCACATGCCCTCATTCAACACTGGGGACAAAGCAGGGGTCTTGTCCCTGGGTTACAGCCTGCCCAAGACCACACAGCTATTACGTGAAAGGGCCAACATTGCAAGTCAGGCCTGTTAAGTCCAGAGTTACTTCCCCCAACAGGCTGCTTCCCTTTTTAGCCAAAGCCAGACAACACTGTAATCATTGAGCAGAAGGGGGAATCCCTTTTACAAAACGCAGCTGATACCAGCTAACCAAATGTAATTTTTAAAACATTTTCCATGATCTTCTCCCCCCATTCTCCCGCCTTCTGCCAACCAAGTGTATATAACCCAGGTCATCCTGATGAGGATCTTTAGGCTGCTTAATTTTAAATGAGGATTTTTAGGCTGGTTACTTTTAAAACTACAGATGAGAGGGAGGCTCCAAGGAGTAGAATTTGCTTGTCCCTTTGTTGGGAAACATTTACATTTCTAAGGGAAACCTCTACCTGTGTACTCTCCACCCAACTTTGCAGCAGAGGCAGCAGAAGCAGCAGAGGCAGCAGCAGAAGCAGCAGCAGAAGCGGCAGCAGCAACATGCGGCCGGCAGCAGCTCTGCCTGCCCATGGGTCCTGTCCCTATGCCAGCGGCGGCAGCAGCAGCTCCCCATGCCAGCAGCATCTCTGACTGCCCGTGGGACCTGTCCCCACGCAGCAGCTCTGACTGCCCATGGGTCCTGTCCCCATGCTATTCTATACTATTCTCTAAATAGAAGAGCACTACTGCCAGATCTTACGAGTCAAAGAAATCTTTCTTTCAACTCCTCGGCTCACCGACCCCGCATCAATCCTTCCTGTAGTGGCCAGAAAGAATCAGTTCAAGAGCAGAAGGCTCATCCCAACTTTCGCCACCAATGCCTGCCCCTGGGGACGTTCCAAGAGGTTGTGCAGGAGGAGAGCGTTGTTTTCTTTTAAGCCCTAATCAGGTCAACGCAGACCTAGAGCCAAGTAGTAGGCTCTCAACCCAGTCACTTTGCCTCTGGCCCCTTGTTTCCTCACCTGTAAAATGAAGGGCTTGGGCTTAAACGGTTTCAAAGAAAACCCTGAGGGGTCCAGCCTAGCGGTGTGGTGGTTAAGTTTACATGTTCCACTTCGGTGGCCCGGGGTTTGCCTGTTGGGATCCCGGGTGTGGACCTACGCACCCCTTGTCAAGCCATGCTGTGGCAGGTGTCCCACATATAAAGTGGAGGAAGATGGGCATGGATGTTATCTCAGGGCCAGTCTTCCTCAGCAAAAAGAGGAGGATTGGCAGCAGATGTTAGCTGAGGGCTAATCTTCCTCAAAAAAGAAAAAGAAGAAAGAAAACCCTGAGAATTCTCCAGGGAGAGGCCGGGTGCGACTCAAGACGCGCTCTTGCCGGCTTTACTCACATTTCTGTTCTCTACATCGAGGCTCCAGGTAAGACCTCCAGGTAAGGACTCCATGACTACAACACGCTTGAAGACCACTGGACTAGACGACTCCTACAAGCTTGCCCAGCTCTGAGGACATCCTAAGAACTTCCCCAGGGCAGCTGTAGTTTAGAGTCTCGGGGGGGGGGGGGGGGTGGCCTTACAACCTAAGAGGGCAGTGCTGGATGTGAATGGCTTAAGAGCAGACTCAAACCCTCTTTCCCATCCCCATGCAGGCAGAGAAGAGCCGTAAGCAGCACAGACACAGTTCTGGGAGGAACGGGCTCCTCAGTGCAATGAACACCACAGATCTGAATGGTCTACATGGCTCCACACACAGGGCCCCTGGTTTCCAACCCCGCCCATGCATCTGACACACCTGTACAGCTGGTTATAAGAGATTCTCTCCCTAGACCTACAGAATCAGAATTCAGGAATGGATCTCACTGATGGCTTTAACAAGCCCCCCAGGAATGATGATTGCCAGCTTGGGGATCCAGCACAATAGACTGTAGCAATAGAGAAACTAAGAGGGTCAGCACCTATCTGCCCTAGTGAATCCCTTGTAGGGGAGGAAGACATTTCCTCTTCCCAAATGCGGGTTCGTCTGGACGGAGAACGAATTAAATTCACATGAGACAGAATAGCAAGAGAAAATTAAACAAAGCTTTATGAGGAACCACGGCCCGGGGCCTTTCTTCCCGAAGGAAGAAAGGGCACCGAAGAAGTGGGGTGCACAGAGTGGTTATATACTCCCAAACAGGATGTTTCACATATGATTGAAATGTCCCTCCCACAATAGTCACAAGATTGCCCTGTCGGCACAGCGCTTGATGGACACGGCAGGTAGTGGTCTGCTGTCTCAGAGGGCGTAGAAGGAGGCAAGTCTATTGTCTGGAGCTGGGCGGTCACAGGTGAGCGCAGCAATCAGTTCCTAGCCTAAGGAAAGATGCTTAATCCTTAAAGAAATGCCAACGTTGGGAGGGGGAGGGAAGTCAGTTACAGGAGGTTACCAGACAAGCACAATAAAATGCAGATTTAAGTCCTTGCCTTTGGCATTGATTAAGAGTTTCTATTGAGAAGGTCATCTCCTTTCTTCTTCCAGGTACAGAGAGGGAGGCACCTTTTACAGATAGAGATTTACCTTACAAATGTAAATGTGTCCTAACAAAGGGCAAGTTCCATTCCTCAGAGCCTGCTTCCCTGTCCCAGTTTATCAAAAGCAATCAGCCTCAAATAATCCTGATGCCAAAGAGACATATCTTGGGGTGACCAATTTCAGACCCCCACACCCTTAATAAAGACTTTCCAGGAAAAAAACAAAAAGGAAGTCACATCAGTAGTTATACTTCTCTGGGCACTGTGACAGCTCTCTTAGAAACCACGGCACCCAAGCAAATGACGTTAGTCCAGCAACCCAAGGCAAAGCTCCTGTTGAGATGAGTCCCACCACTAGGTGGCAGACACGCACCGGACAGCCTTCCCATACAGCTTGTCCCAGTTATTAGCAGCTTTGGGTTAAGTCTGTTCCCTCAGAAAAACTAGAGCAGGACTGCATTCCTCACATACTTTGTAGGACTGCTTTAAGGATCAAATAAAGTGAAGTGAAAGTAGACTGAAGGCTAGAGAAGTCCGATGTGAATATTACCATGAAAGTTGGAAATTTAAGGAACTGAAAAGAAAGGACATGGAATCTTGAAACATCGACAACTCTACGTTGCTTGAAAGAATCCCAGGCTTTTCAGGATGAAATCTCATCATGACATGTGAGCTTTTCAGGCAGAGGCCATGCTGGCTTTCCCTGGCCTGGGAGTCAGTCAGTCAACAAACACTGCAGGGGACCCCATGCCATTTTCAAATTAGGCAACATATCACAGGTACCACTGATCTATTCCAAACAAACCTTCAGCACAAAAGGGGCACGCCAAGCCTGGACTGGACTGTATGAGCAAACAAGCTTGTGTAAGGCACAGTTTCATGTCCTCCCGCCCCTCACCTCCATTCACTAAGTGAGAATGTGTGTCTGGATTTAGTCTAGCTCCAAGTGATTCACGTGGCTATTTTATGTTATTTTAGCTCATAGTTTATTGAAAAAATATGTAAGCATATATTCAGGCATAGCCCGAGATTTAGCAAGTGGGTTAACTACATTCTGGGTTTTAGAAAATGATCTGTTTAAACTCAGCTTTAAAATAGAAATCTAAACATGCCCCAGATGATGATAGAAACGCGTCTCTCTGGACACATCCTCTCAAAGCAGACTTTCCCACATCCCAGGTCTCCTTCCCCAGCCCTCTTCTTCAAAATCTTTAAGCAGGTCCTAAGAGGTTTCTTTTAATCTCAGCTGATGAATGGTTTGATTAAAGCAGCACTAGTCAAACGGGTGTCTCCTATTGGGCAGCAGAAGGGTGGGCAGACAAAGCAAATTTGCTCAAAGATTTCACTGGCCGGCACCCCTGTCTCCCCAGTTATGACAAAGGAGCCGAACTGAGTTCTGAGAAGTGAGCTGAGTCCCAAGCAAAGTGCAAACTCCAAAGGTGGTCCACGGGGGACAGGGGAGATGTGACGGCAACACAAAGAGAAAACTGGATCACAGCTAAACTGGCTTGCACAACCATTACCTGTGTGACACCAGGCAAGCCACTTACTCTGTGATTCACAGGGTCTCCATCCATCTGAGGATGATGGTCACATCTGATAATACCAGCTCTCACAGAGGCACCTAAGTGTTAAAAACACGGCAGCCTTCTTAGGGTGCATCCTCTTAAACCCTTTGGATCTGCTTAATTCCTTGATGGGTTTGCATCCATCGGTGGAACGAGTAGGCTGGATAGAGCAGAGCTGCTCTGGACAATCACGAGGGCCATTTGTCACCTAGGAGGCAGTAGGGGAAGGGATGACAGGGAAGCTGAGAAAGGTGGAGAGGTGGTGGGGGGCTAGAGAGCTACCAACGGCACAAAAGCCAATTCTTTTAAAATTCTCAGGGGCGGGCAACCTAGGTCTTTAAAAACAGGGAGAGATATGAATACCTGTGTTGACTGACACACAAAGATCAATGAGATGTATTCGTTCAGAAGAATCTCATTCATATACGTGTATTCAACTTGAAGTTGTTCGCATCGGTATAATGTAAACTTTCCTCCAGCCACTCCCAAAAGTTTACTTTATTTAGGTTTTGTTTTGCTTGTTAGTGTAGAAGTTGAGGAAGGCGTAGTGAATGGCCCAGGGAAAGCAGTGAGGGGGAGACTGCATAAACTAGATGACATCAGTAAAAGCAGGGAGCCAGAACGTCCCAGAGAACAGAGCCTCCCAAAAAGGGACAGAGGAGAAATGTGTCAAGTCACTCATCCTGCGCCAGCTGACCAGCCCGGGATGGCGAGGCTTAGTGACAGCATAACCGTAACTGTATCCACTCAGCAAACTCGGGGTGCTCCCCTCCCATCAGCCGCGGAGCCCTCACAGCCCGCTGGCCTTGCTCACTGTGCCGCCTGCCCAAGCACCACAGAGAACGCAAGAGCTGGCTCATTTTGTTCAGTCTTTATTTACAGCAAAGTACATGATATGTGGTCATTTCGTAACTGCTAACAATAAAGGCAGGGCAGCAGAAAGAAAAGGGGAAGAGCAAGCATCTGAAAGAAGAAATACAAGCCTAAGTCTTGATTCAGCTACTCACCCTCTTCCTGAGGCAGGACCGGCTAGGCACTCCTGCCTCTAAGAGCAGCAAAGAAGCTGATCTGTAACACCAGCCACCTGGCCCGAGGAGGGTAGTAGAAGGCCCAGAGACAAAAGATCAAGGGGACTCTGAGCTCTAGGCTCCACGGTGATCTTCCCAACCTCTCTCCTTGGTTCATCTGATACCAAGACTGTCTCCCCTACTCCACCCTGAGCACAGGGTGAAGAGCAGGAATGGTAGAGAAGTCCAGTCGGCCCTTCCCAGCAGAGCTGTGGCATCGCTGACAGGCAGCGGGGAGACTCCAGGGCAGAGGAAAATCCATCCTGCAATGGCCTTGGGTGCTAGCACAGGTCTAGGCTGCTAAGTCAAGGAAAGGCGCACAAGGACAGCAAAGGAGGTGATGCAGAAAGCAGCTGGGCTCCAGTCCCTCCTGCTTCCCAACGACTCTGAGGAGCGTGCAAGCCTTCAGCCTGACCTAGTGGCCTAATGAGAGACTGGCAACCCACCCTGGGTGTGGAGACAAGCGCTCAATCCTAAGCCCAGCATCTGCAGGAAGCCAGCGTCCACACGACCTCTGAGCAGCCAAGGCCAGAGGGGGATGGTGCAGGGATGATTGGTCTGAAGGGTGACCTGGAGACCTTTCCCTCTCACCCTCCCCCAGATGGCTCTTCAGAGATCCTGTTGTCTAACCACCACCTCTTCGAGAGCTTATCCTATCCATTCCAAATCAAAGGACATCTGGGGTCGCAACACTTGCATCTTCCTTATACAGACTCCCGTCTCTCTGCCCCTACTGGTCTCAGGCTGCTCAAGAAAAAGAAACCTGGGTCAGAAGCCCCATTAGCATGAAAGAGTGTGAGGCCAGGCCTTCCCATGACACGAGGCTTGGATGAGTGCGTCCAAAACACTTGGTCCACAGACAATATCTGGCAGGAAGGGAGAAGCAAGCACCGTTGGTGGCTCTGAAGCTAAGGGATGCCCATGCACACAAGACCGACATTACCCCACTCTGCTCCTCGGCGTCTCCTCCCTGGACAGCAGAGTACCCAGATGACTTGTGTCATGATTTGCAGTCTAATGAGTCTCCCCCTGACTCTCCAGTGGAAACAGAGAGCTCTTAAAATACCAAGTCCAGGATTTGTCATTTAGAAAGCTCAAGTGCAGATACTCAGTTGGCTAAATGCTGGGGTCGCCAGAGAGGGGCAGAGCTTCCCATCCCTTCTTTGCCTCAGAGTGTGTCACAGAACCAGAGGATTCACCAGCGCTGCCCAGTGAGCACAGCTATTCCCCCAGCCAAGCCACCAAGAACTGGTGATGGTCTTACCAGGAGGCAGGACAGCCCTAGAGCTGCTCCCAAGCTAGGCCTGGGCTACTTAGAGCCACTGGAGGCTTGGTCCCAACACCACAGGTAGATGAAGAAGCGGCTAAGTGAGTCAAGGCTCAGAGATGAGAAGAATCCATCTTCCAAGGCAGTGGGATACACAGCCAAGGCACTAAATGGTTTGGCACCTGGGAGCTTCAAGTAAAGGGGAGCGTGCCACCCACCAAAAGGCCAGGGCTCCCCCAGACGGGGATGGGCTTCCCCTGAGCACACACCAGCCCCATGAAGGCAAGAGGCCCTCGGGTCCTCAGGATCCTACCCAGGCCTGCCATCCACCCTGCATCTCAGAACCCTACAAGGCATGACTAGAAAGATAACAAATACTGATTCTGAAACACACAGTCCAGAACGCATCCATCCTGGTGAGTCCCAGCCCTCAGAGAGGCACCTCAGGGGCCTTCCCTTGATCCAATCAGGCGGTTGCTGCTGCTGGGAGCTCCCTCCAGGGCCTGTAGCACAGTCTCCTGAATGTCTCGGGGTGGCAAAGCTCTGTTGCAGATTATGTCTGACTTTTTGAAAGTAGTGAAAACAGAGTTTAGAATCAAACTGAGTCCAGAAAAGGGGAATCGAAGGGGATGGTGCTGAGTTTAAAGGGACAGTTCAGGGTGACCAGAGAGTAATGGCATCAGATGTATCTGAATGGCTCCAATGGCCTAGGAAAGCAATGGAAGGAGAAAGGTTCCCCATAATGTTCTGGTCAGTGGCAGCCACATGAAATAACTCAGGGCGTGGCCTACCAGGCACTGAAATGGTCAACACTGAAATGACAAGGCTCTGGCTCTTCTGCAGTTAAAAGCTCAGGCTTTAAGACTTATAATCATACTTCCTCCATCTCACTTGATGCCCCCACCCCCCCGCTTCCTCCACCCCTCCACCAAGAATCTTGAGGAATCTGTACTTTTTGCAAAGAAGGAAATTTCCACCAAGAGGGAGCCCCCAGGAAAGCTGGAATTCATCACCCCAAGTGTTTTCAACCTAAGACTCCAACCTATGACTTAAATACTCTATTTCCTCTTCCCTGCTCTACATGCCCAAATCAGCTGGGCTGTGACGCTGCTGGTGACAATCACTGCTGAAAGGTGCATGCTATCTCACTGCAAATCCCCACATCTTGGTAAACAAAAGCGACTACTCCCTACATGGGCAGAGCTCTCCTGCCACCCTGTGAGGGGCAGCCAGGTGTCCTTCTGCCAGCAGAAGTCCTCAACCCAAGCCCAGGCTGCAAGGGGCCAACTGTGCACTCCACAGTCCAGGGAAGAGGCCAAGGAATGTGATCAGAGACTTCCCTGGGAGGCAGGAGGACCACTCAACAGGCACGGTTCTCCTCCCTCCTTCTCCATTCTCTCAGGAAGCGACCCCATCCAACCTGTATCAGGTAAGAAGAGAGAGGCAGCTCTGGCTCTTGGAGAGACTGAGAAGTGGGAGAGTAAGGAAGGAGGTGTGGAGCTCCCCACGCAGCCAGAGGTGGGGCACAGGGCAAGAAGAAAATGCAGAAGACTTGTTCTCAGTGGGCCTCTTCCCTGAGTTTGATTTTTGAGTGGAGGTCTCACCCAATTTCAACTCAGAAAAAAAGAAAAGAGTATTTCTCATCGACTGTCATTGAGCTCCACTCCAAGAAGGTGGCATCTGGCAGGGAAGGCAATCAAAGGTTCCCAACTCCACTCCCACTGAGCCCCACAGGCACTCGGAGCAGTGAGACATGAGCCTCGGTCCTCGCCCCCCATCTCCCACACAGATGCCTGAGCCTGCCCCACCTGCAACACAATAGGCAGTTTCCCCTCAGTGAGACGCCAGCTCCAGTCCCAAAACACTCCAGTACAGGTCCTCCTGCAAAATACTTATGGCAAACAGCTTTACAGTATTTGTACATTTACACAAAAATAGATCCTTTTATATATATATGTATTTATAACTGGTTACACGTTGGATTCATAATTAGGCATCACCAGTAGTAGTTGGCACAGTTTGTCATTTAAGCTCAGGGTCAAGTTCTGTTTCATTTTGCCGCTCCAAAGTACAAAAAAAAAAAAAAAAAAAATCAAAGGCATTTCATCTCCATGGTGTTTTCTTAAATACAGCAATGTCATAGGAAACCATATGTACAGACGAACAGTGCCTTCTAACCCCTCCTCCTGTCTCTTGAAGATAGGGGCCAGGGTCTGAAGGAGACGGGGGTCAATGTGGCCGGCTGCTGGACTCTGAGGCCTGCCTCTTGCGTGAAGGGGTATAGCCGTTGAGATAGCCATTGGTCTGCCGTTTGGAGATCCCTCCATTCAGGATGTCCTGGATGTGCTGCACGATGAGGTTGATGGCCACTGTGGGGCAGAGACCGGCAAAGTGTTAGGGAGGTGGGGAGGGATGGGAGCACACGTGTAGGGCTGTGTGTCTATTTGGGTGGAAGGGCACACAGGACCCAGAGGCTCAGAACGCTTCCAGGTAACTGGCTCTGCCAGTTGTGGGCAAGTCACTCAAACCTCCAACATGGCTAATATGACCTCCCTCGCAGGAGAGTTCTTAAGACTCAGACAGGCAATACCTGGGACACAGCAAACCCTTAACGAACGGGCTTCTTATCAGGAGATGATCAGTCAGAACTGGATGAAAGCCATCAGCCAGAATTCTGTGGACATGAGGACTAGCCTTCATTCTGACACCACTGACTAGCTGTGAGATGCTTCCACTAGGGAACGTACCAGCTGCCCATCCCAAGTAGAGTGACCCCACAGAAGGCCCTTTCCTTCAAAGATAATAAAGATAGGACTCTCTTTTCTTAGCATTAGAGATAAGTTAGGCACCCTATGAAGTTACCAATGTGCACATCACCAAACATGGGATACACATCAAGTGCTTTCCGAGGTAATGCACGAAGAATATAACATCTCTTCTTGGTACTCTCCGGGTTGTATGCACCAAATCTAATCATGAGGACACGAAGACAAACCCGAGTTGAGGGCCATTCTACAAAACAATGGAGCTGTACTCCTCAAAAATGTCAAAGGAGATTTTATCAATATTATGTTTCCTGAATGTGATGATTGCACTGTGGATAGGCATGAAAATGTCCTTATCTTTAAGAAATACGCAGTGAAATATTCCTTGCTGAGATGAACTCCCAAATGACTCAGCAAAAATATAAACTTTTTAAATGGAGGAAAATTGAAAAAAATTATAAAGAGAATGAGAAGACAGGGTCTTCTTGCAGATCAACTCTGCCCCACTATGCCTAAGTCCGGAGATATATCTGCTTCGTAGACAAGCCAAAACAAATAAATAAATGCACTAGTGGCAGCAACAAGCTCCCTTTAAGAAGGGCCACCTTGATGACAGGTCATTCTTAATTAGATTAAGAAGGAAATCTGCTTTTGCTTAAAAAAAAATGGCCTCAGTTACAAGGTATCCAATTGTCATCACTGGGGGGATAGACAGAGGTAGTCTACAGCCCTCTGACTTCTGCCAGAGAAGCACAAATTCACATCTGTCCCCATAGACGTACATACGTATTCACAGGGGCCTGTTCCCAAGGCCAGACGTGTAGGTGGTAATTCCTCTCTGGCTCACAATGGCCGCCTGGTGGGTCAGCACGTCCATAGAGCCTTGTTTGGGCCACATCTTGCCCCAAAATATGACTTAACAAAGGGCAGAAGTTATGCCCCCACAAGATGACGCCCCATGAGGACTCACCTAGATTATCTGCACCTCTAGGAATTATCACATCAGCGTATTTCTTTGTCTGTGGAGAAAGATATTGACATTGCATTAAAGAGGAGTTCAGAGAGAAACTGGCCCAAGGCCCTCTCTCAGGGAACATGGGGAGGCGCCAGCCTTCTCAGGACTGATCCCAGAGGGCCACAGCTTGAGGCTTCAAACACAGTATTTTTTTACCCATTTTATCTAAATTATAATATATCAGCTTTTTCTTGAGTTCTGATTATTAATGTTTAACATTGTTTCAGCTTACAATGCACAGCTGCACACAGGACATGGTCTTTGAAACCAAACACGTAATTGCCTCTTCCCCACTAGAAAAAATATGAATTAGAAAAATGCAAACTAAAAAGGGAAGCAGTTCACCTTGGACTTCTACACACAGTCTGTCTAGCACAAGGGCAAACCCTGAAAAAGTAATCCCCATTGATGACCATTTTCATTGGCTCTGTTATTAGATTATTTTTTTAAAAAGGCCATGATCAGACACAATCCTGTTTTTTTTTCTTAATTGACTGAGATTTTGTGGACCATTTTACAAATAACTGTGTGCTGGTGTATACCCTAAGTTTAGGGTAGGAGGATCACATAAACAATGCCTTGGGTATGCGGGCATCTTTATTCTGCAGCATCCACACTAGAACTCCTGAAACGCAGCTGCGTCAGGCTCAAACCCAACTTGACCTGGGCAGACGATTGATCAAGTCCAAGCTCCTGGCTTACATGGGAATGAGCTGATCATCCTTGAGCACAGAGTGGCTGAACAGCGGGAACAAGGAGAAACAACCCAGAAAATGTGCAGAATTCTGAGCTCCATTATGACTAAGTTAAACAGCAGAAAATTGGTAGTTAACTCTAATTTGTGTCCAATAATAAGTTTACTTTGTGTTCTTAATATTAAGATAAAAAGAGTAGGAGAGGTCCTCAGATAGAGAGATGGGTGGATAGAATTTCCAGGCTCCTGGCCCCCTCTGTTCTCTTCCCAGAAACCTAATCCTGTAACCCGAGCCTCTCTAGGGGAAGGAATAGCACATCCAGGTTACTCAGGCTGACTCACAAAGTCTGTCGGTCCCTGATCTGAAACAAAGTCAGGTCTGGTTTGACGCAAAACCTGCTAACAGACCTAAAGAAACAAAGATGGTTTCAGATCTCATTTTTCCAGGAGAGGAGAAAGAAAGAAGTTAATTATTAGGAGAAGCAGAGAAATTCCCACACCCAGCCTCACTCTACACCTCTTCTCAATGCCCTCACAGACTCCGGTCTCCCAAAAGAAGTCACCCAAGCCCAGGCCAAGTCCCAACCTCTCCGGCTGTCCCTCAGAGCCGAATTATAAATCATTAGGGAGACAGACCCTGGTCTGGCCAACCTGGAAAAGACACCTGACACAGGTGTAGGAGTCTCCTGAATTAAATACTCTCATTCACAAACTAGGCTCTGTCCCACGTCTTCCTCCACCACAACCCCACCACTCCACACTTCTTGTCCCTTGGCTGCCTTCCCTCAACATTCACCTGTCTTTCCCTAGAAAGCTGAGGGTGTTTCCTGGGCTGAGGGCTAATTCACTGAAAATTGAGCATTTCCCCTGTCCCCAACCTTCTTTCTCTGAAAGCCACCTCACCAGAGAGTTCACAGCTGCCAAGAGGAGGACTGATGAGTCTGTGCTGTGGCACAAGGATGGAAGCATATTCCAACACGGCTCGACGCTTCCCAAATGGGAACTTTTACAGGGGCCCAAGACAAGCTCAAAGCAGGGCTCAAATGTAGGTGCAGAAGAGATTCAGAAGCGAACACCCATAGCTGAGCTCTCCCGGTACCAGCACTCCAACCATCACAGGTCCAATGGTCGAGTCTACCCTGAGATATGATGCACCCTCAATAAAGGGTCTCACACCATGAGTCCATGAAGCAAGAGGTGTTGAGCTTGCTGGAAATTAGACAGCAGGATCCTAAAGGGCTAGCCCAAAAAAGAGTGGCAGGACAGAGCTCCTGCAGAACACAATGGTAGGACCCAAAGCACCACAGGCTATCCTTTCCTGCGACTTCAGGATAGAGGGTCCCTCAGAGAGAGGAAAGAGATTCAGGCTGGGGAGCACCTTGCATACCTTTATTTGTATGATTAAATTTTAAATTCTAAATTCAACAAAAAACAAACGAAGAACACAACTCACTGGCAAGCAGAATTCCTCAAAGGCAGGCTTGACGAACGTAATGTACTGAGACAAAATCTGCTCAAGGTCCCTTCCTCTTTCGCTGATGTCCCTTAATACTATAAGAGAAGGAAAAACAACAATCAAGAAAATGGTGCGTGAGCCAACACATGTCTACCCTCCACGAGGCAGTCCGGGCTCACGCAGGCTCCACAATGATTCAAAAGCCAGATTCCTGAGAGAGTTGGCCAAGAGTAGGTCAGCAGCAGCTTCAGGAAAAACAAGTTACATTTTTATGTCTTACTGCAGTCAAATTCGGCTAGGACAAAAAGCTCTCTGAGGCAACAGGCCGTCTGGCCTAGGCCAACAGTCTTCTTGTGTCAAGCAACATGTGATCCAAATAAAATTGCATTGTGAACCAAAAAAAAAGCAGGACAGTTCTGGGGAGCTTCAGGAAGGAGATGGGGCTCAGAGAGGTGGCAGGGCTTCCTGGCAAAGGGGGCGAGTTGCCAGCAGACTTTCTCCTTTGCTCACCTTGGTCCTGTCCCCTTGCACACACTTACCTGTGTGCAGTCCAGTGACCTACTGCTGATGTGCCCCCTCATCACACCCAGCTCCCACCCACACTCCATCCCCTGTGAGGCGGAAGGCAGGCAGAGGGTCCAGCTGCAGTCAGCCATTCCTGCTGACTTCAAGCACAGAGGTGTGCAGACGGAAAACCATGGTTTAGGAAACTCTGTGCTGGAGCTCTGAAGGAGCCCAGATTGACCCAAACTCACCATTTTCTACCTTCTTCATCCTGGGCAGTGCTATTCAGGGACCTTCATCAGACTTTTTTAATAGTCTTTTGTCAAAAAAATGGGATGGGAGGCTGGCCCTGTGGCCGAGTGGTTAAGTTTGCGTGCTCCGCTGCAGGCGGCCCAGTGTTTCGTTGGTTCGAATCCTGGGCACGGACATGGCACTGCTCATCAAACCACGCTGAGGCGGTGTCCCACATGCCACAACTAGAAGGACCCACAACGAAGAATGTACAACTATGTACCAGAGGGGCTTTGGAGAGAAAAAGGAAAAAAGAAAAAAAATCTAAAAAGAAAAAAAAAAAAAAAAAAGGGATAGGGTCTGACCGTCTAAGGAACTGGAATCCTAGATCTGCCATTGTACATGAACCTCCCTGAGCCTCAGTTTCCCCCAAACACAGTAGTGAGTTTGGAAGACTTGTTTTAAATCTTAGTACCATGAGCTATTAAATCTTTCACCCCCACCCCAAAAGGGTATCCTAGCCATCTACAATCATTCGTGATGGCCCCTCGGCTCCTCTCAACCATTTCTCAGGATACAGACTCAAGCGTGGGTTGAAAAGCACTGTAAACAAACACAGGGAGCAGTTGTGAGTGAATTTCTGGAAAGCCATGCCTCTAAATAATTCAGTATTTATGTAGGCACATGGGTGCGTGCATACATGCACGGGCAGGGAGGGGCAGGAAAGAGGGCAAGTGTCATGGTTCTGATCCAGGCTGGCATGACGTCTGTGAGATGGGACAGCTAGGAAACTGTCAGGAAGACCACATGCCAGACAGCGAGGTCACACTGCTCCCACCACCTTGGCTTTTCTACCAGCTCCTCAATTTACAGGAGTTTGTTCCACAAGTGCCCTGGTAATAAAATGGTTGGCTGGTTCCTAATGCGTCAGGACTTGCCTCACAATTCTCCCCGACCAGCAGCGGAGCCTTCCCCAGCCAGGAAATAGTCTTCTCGGATATTTCGACACAGGCCCCGCTCTGGCTTCCCCAGCAGCTCTGCCAGGGAGACTCGGCCAAGAAGGAGCCCGAAGAGCTGCCACGTGGCACACCCCCACGAGCCTCTGGCACGCAGGGCTAATGAACTCAACTCGGCCAAAACACACAGCAGTGTGGCCTCCTGTCCTTCACACGTCTCCAGATAAAGTCCAAAGCAAAAAGGAAGCCAGACCAAAAGGGTATCAAAGCTGGGAAAAACCAAACACACACCCGCACTGTTTAAGCACACACAAGCCCTGGAACAGCCTGATGCCAGGCTTGTTTCGCAAGAATTGGATTTCACACAACTGTGGACAGCTTTAGCACAGTGGGAACCTTCGTCCATTCCCCCAGCACGCGCACACACGCACACACGCTCCTTTCACGGAGCTCTCCCACTGCCCTCAGCCCGGGTCTGCAGCTCCCTGCCATCTCGCAGACCTGATGGCTTCACCTGTTACATCACTGGAGTGAGGATGGACCCCCAGGGAGATGGCAGGTAGAACAAGTGAGTCACACTGAGTCTGCTCTAGAGTCCACATCACTTCTTGTTCCACCATCTAGAGCCTAAGGGCAAAACTGACCTCGATTTGAATCCGGAACCCACTAACCACTACCTCTGTGATCTCAGACAAGTTCCTTAACCTCTTTGAATCTCATTTTCCTTAACTGTAAAATAGAGACAATATTAGTATCCTTCTCTTCAAGTTGTTACTTAGGAATAGAGGGAGATGTACATAAAAGTCTCTATTTAGCACTGTGGCTGGCACACATGTTCCATAAATCTGAGCTTCTATGGTGATTTCGATGACAACAGAACCTGAGGAAGCTTCAGGAGAGGGACAGCTCCTGATAGAGCAGAACTTTGGGAAACCACCGGGGGGCAGGAACTGTGAACTCGGGTAAACAGGTTAGACCCAGCTGAGAGTGGAGAGCCTGCAGAGCTGCTGGAAAGGTTGGGGTGGGAGCGTGGGAGGAGACAGCAGGACACAAACACATGGGAAGCCGAGAGGGAGACACAGGGAAGACAGGGAGGAGTCATCCTACGCTTTCCACCCTGGAAAAGGAAACAGGAAATGGGTCAGAATGTCGCCCAGACATCGGGAACGTGCAAAATCAAAAGGCATGGCCTGCCACTGCTCCCCAAGAGCCTTCCACCAAGTTATCACCAGACCGGGACCCTTCCTTGAGCCAAGGACAACACAGGACCAGCCAGTTCACTGCGCTGAAACGCCCTGCTCCTCTGGCGCAGGCAGGAAACGGGGCCAAGCCAAGGACTGAGTCAGAAACAAGGCCTTGGCACAAACCGGAAACTCCAGGGACTCAAAGCTGGCTCCCTCCTCATCCCTCTGACCCCGGCACATTTGCTGGGCCAGGACAGGCCCTTTCAGAGAATGAGTGAAGGGCAGAAAACTACAGGTCTACCCACCTTCTCTGCTTGGCTTCTACTTCAGCCCTTCCAAATCCATTAGTGCTCCTTCTGGTCAGCCAAAGCCAAGAAAATTTAGAAGGACCCCAAATAAATACAATTTCTCAATGGTTAAGTCCATTCACTTTAAAAATTAGTTGAGGAAACGTGTTAGTCTAGTAAAAGGACAGACTGACTTTCTCAAGACCCACTGCTGCCCTAACGCTATGTGAACTGAGCCCAGAGAACTATGGCAGGAGACAGACTAGGTGTCAGCAGTCCTAGTCCCCCAGCTCAGGTCTTCCCCGTCCCCAAATTCAAGGGTTGCTTAGGGGAAATAATGCATATAGAGGGAAGGGGAAGGCAAGCATAGCTGGAAGGAGACCGATCCCCTAGAAGTACAAGGGGTCTCCATGGGAAGGAGGTCTTTCCAAGGCTGCAGGACTCAAAGGCAGATCCCCCCTCCCACACGAGGGTCAACTGGTATGTGAGGGTCACATGCCCAGGAGGGTGTGACACACAGATGGGTAAAACCATGGGGCTAACTCGGGGAATGTTCTTATGCCCAACAGCTGCTCCTGACTAAGCCCCGCCTCTCCCTTACCAGGCACCCTCCCACACCACAAAGCAGATGCCAGGCATGGCTTTTGTCCTATGTGGACAGAGAATGAATTTGTAGAAATAGCACGTGGAAAAGTCCCACAAGTCCACCAGGATGAAGTGACTCTCCAGGGGTTGACATGAGAAGACAGCAGATCTCAAAAGAGAAAGCAGCAAGGAGTACCATGGAAGACAGGGGTTACAGAACTGACCCCAAGAAACCCCCAGGAAGACCACCACCACCTCAAGTCTTTCCCCCATTTCACATAAGGATCCCAGTACAAGAAAGGGAGGGAGAATTTTCCATTTAATCTACACCATGTTTATCTGTTTGAATTAGAGGCCAAGATTCATTTGGTTTCCAAGGACACTGCCACTGCACAACCCTGGTTCTAATTTCTTGTGCAACGCCTTGCACTCTCTCCTCCCTTGAGCATAACTGCATCCCCTGGGACCTTAGTATCACCTGCTGGACCAATGATGGTTCAGCCCTGAGGATGTGACCGCTCGTAGGTTCTGATCAGCCCAGACAGAAACTCAGGAACACAGAACAAAATCTACCCCCTCAGGTGAAGCAGATTTCTGATCCACCATGTCGATATTTATCGACTAATGCACTGCCAGGCATTTACCTACATTACCTCTAATCAGCACAACTGTCCTAGGAGTGCTAATCATTAGATGATCAACCAATAGAAAAATGAGGTACAAAGAGGTTAAAACATAATTTGCCCGAAATCACCCATCCACCAAATGCTGAAACCAGGATTTAAGTCCAGTTCATGTGACTCCAACTTTTCCCCCCAACACATCAAGCTGCCCTTCCTAATTTGGCAAGTTAATATGGACATGGAGCAGATCAACCCAGGCAGGACCTGGGTTTGTGGATTCAGGTGATAAACCAGGCCCTGGGGCAGATACATGAGGGATTGTCAGGCTCAGTTATCTCAATTATCTATGAAACCTCACCTGGCCAGAGTAACACCCTAAAAAACAGGCCTGTCTCCCTCATATTACCCACAAAGAAACCCAAGCCTGAGAGGTCTCAAGAACCACCAAAGTCACAAAGCTAGCTGAAGGCTCTGCTAGGACTAGAAGAATACAGGCCTCCCACTCTCCTTCCTTCTTCCATCACAGAGTCCTAGCCCCCCCCCCCCCACCCACCTGGGAGCTGAAGTGTGGCTCCATCTGACTAATAGAGTGTGGATCCTATTACTACCTGGGAGGGCAAAAACCAGGGACTCGTTTCTCCATATTCTGCTGGTTCCGTTTATAGTTCCTGCAATCAGACTACTGAATTGGATAAACTACAAATTTGTTTCATGAACCGAGAAGAGAAAATTTCACAGACTTCGAGGTCAGAAGGCTCTGGAGTGGAGCTTCCAAAAATCTGAATTTGCCAATGATTTGCTCTGTGACTAGGAGATTTCGCCTTGTCATTTCCTGTGCCTCTCTTCTCTTCCGCACAATGGAGACTCGAAGCCTTCCTCCCCCTCCACCCCTCTCTTCAGTCACCCCCACCCCACTGCCTTTGCTGGGTCCTGTCAGCTCTAACTCTGCTGGTATGCTTCTCATCTCTCCCAGCTCTCCTTCCCTCTCCCACCACCTATGGACGACAGCCCTACCTATAGTCCAGATCAGCAAAGAAGTCCCCAAAAAGAACCCCCAGCCGCAATCTTCACTTAGGTTTCCTCTGTCAGAATAATCTTCCAAAGGAGAGCTGAGGCCATGTCATCACGCTGCTCAAAACCCCTTGGTAGCTTTCCCTCTTCTACCAGGAACCAAACTGGAAGCCAAATCTCCACAATCTGCTCCAAACTACTTTCTAGTGTCTCTTCGTTTAGCCCTCTATGAACTCCAGCCACCTGCCTCTTGGAACAGGCCATATGTGCCTGTATTTGCACTGTGTACCTCTTGGGTTGCCTACGTCATCACCCTACCACATCCAAGACCTACCCTTCTTCCTCCTGAAGCCTCCCAACCTCCCTAGTGGAAGCAAGCTCTCTGCTCAGTGTCCTACAGAGCTGAATTCACAGGCTCAGCTCCCCAAACCACGAGCAGTTCTGTGTCTTCAGTACACAGGCACGGGGCCTCACACAGGCACACGCAGAGGCCTGCAGAGGAAACCACCGACTTTGCTCTGGAGCTGGCTGGACAGAGTGACACAAACTCTGTAGAGCTTTCTGGAAAATAAAGGGCTAGAGAAGCAGGCTAGTAGGATGAGCTGCCCAGCACTGCAGGCAGAGGATGTCCTATAGTTAGTTCCTGGCTTGATTGTAGTGCTTGGGAAAATCATAAGGAACTAAGCATTTAACCCAACTTTTTTCCAGTGAAACCAGAATGTAAACTTCTTCTTTCAGCTCTGTGATCTCACAGGGCTTGCGTTATCCAAAACAGTAAGTGACTAATCCCTTCTCAAATATCCTGAACATTTGGATAGCAGGACATCCTGGGGCTGAACTGACACAGCTGGGCTGGGCCATGCGGCCACAAGGCCACCTCAGGGAAAGCATGGGCTTCAGGCTCAGGGAGGCAGGGAGCTGTCACGGGCCACCAACAGGGCCACCAGAGGCTTTTAGAACGCACCTCTGCGGGAGAGCCGGGTGTCCGCATCTGTGTCCACGAAAAGCTTCATCTGGAACAGGTCCCGCACCTCCTGGGAGTAGAAGGCCAGGATCCCTTCGAAGAGCACCACGTCCGCGGGGTAGACGGTGACCGTCTCCTCCTTCCTGCAAAGCACAGAGCAGATGACGGGCCGAGCTGGGCAGGGTGAGCTAGAGGGGGAGAACAAGTGCAAGAGCATCTCTGGGGGCCTGGGGTCCTTCCCTTTCAGACTCAGAGTGGGCCTGAAAGGGTTTAACTAACAGGTGGCCCTCAGACCACCACTGAAGAGCCAAACAAGGGCAATCACAGCTGGGGCAAAGGTCTCCTTTGACCGGTTCTTCTGAGCTTTTGCCACAAAGCAGAAATAGAGCACAGCCCTCCTTCTCCCTGGGAGAAAAAACCTGCTGTTGAATGAAGAATAAAGACGGGCAAAAACAGATGTGATTTTTTTCTCCGAAGGCGTCTCCAGGAATGCTCTCAGGGCTGGCATTCCCGGAACCTAACACTGAACTTTCAAAAACAGAAACTCACAGTTTTCTCCCAACAACCCCACCCCTTTCCCCCAGTCCTGAGGCAGATGGAAGGAGGGAGGAAGGGACAGGAAAAAAAGAAAGTTCAGAAAAGAGGATGGAGGAGAGAAAACATCTACACGGAAGTAAAGACTCACAAGTTCTGTCCAATCTGGCTCCGCCATAAGCCAGCTCTGTGGCCGTGGGTCATTCCCCAAGCTCCCTCGAGCTCCTTTTCCTCATCAATAAAGCAAGGATATGCGCATCACCTCATCCATCTACCCCACACGGTTGGGAAGTCCAAGGCAGAAACTAATGAAACATGACTTTTCAAAAGCCAGGGGGGTAAAACATTGCTAAATCGATAAAAGGAGCTGCTGGGTCCAGCCCCACCTCGCCTCAACTTTCACTGTGTTCATATCCTCTGATTCTGTCCTAAAACTACCTTGCACGTCACCTACTCTCTCTTGCTCAAAATTCACTGAAAGGGAAGCAATGATTGCCACTGCAAGGTTACTACTCACCCTGACTAGCAGACCAGCAAACGTCTGTGAATCAAACCAAATAAAACAATTTTCTTTAAAGTTCCTTAAGACAATAGGGTTATCTGTGCAAACGTAGGGAGGTCAGCAGCAGCTGCCAACTAAAGGGGAGGGCATTCAAACTTCCCTCCCATAAACACTCTTGGATTCCTTATTAGCTCAGACCCTTGGCTTCCTGCCTAAATTCTAAGGCAGGCGCTGCTGGAGCAGCTACCACGGAGGCGGAATACCAGGCAGAAAAGGACCAGGGTAGTAAGATCAGTAAGATCTAGAATAGTGGTCTAAGTCCAGATGTACTCAGAATCATCTGCGGAGCTTTTAAAAAACGTTTACACCTGGACACTACCCCCCTGGGGCTCTGATTTCATTAGTCTAGGGTGGAGCTAAAACAATGATACTTTTAAAAGGCTCCCCAGGTATTTCTAACGTGCAGCCAGGGTTGAGGAGCCCCAGTCTACAGAATGTCAGCTACCAGAAAATAGGGTGCCCATTGTGGTTCAGGATAAGGAAGCACACTGGCCGAGTTCAGAAGGGAAATGGGTAGAAAAAAGGATCAATGAGTGAGTAAGTGAAATAATGAGCCACTCCAGGCAACTGCCCTGGGCCAAGGAGAGGATGGAAAGGATTTGCTGGGAAACAAATAACACGTGTGTGCAGGATTCCTAGGCTTCCACATGGAAAACCCTAACAGAAAATGCAAGGACGGTGCTGGGTTTAGATATATGGACGCTACCTCAAGCACTGATCAGGATGCCTAACTGATCAACACTAGAAAGGAACAGGTGGTTTTCCAATTCAACAGACCTCCCTTTTCAATCCTGGGAAAGTAAGGAGAACACAACTGCCTGTTTGTGGTTGGTGCCCCAAGAAGCTGGAACTGATCATTTCCCAAGTCCACACATAGGTCTGGGTGGGAGAAACTTTCCAAACAGCTCTGAGTTAAAAACATTTACTGAACAACTTCTAGCCCAGAATGTGCAAGGAGCCACATTCAGTGCAATATTCCATTTAAGAGTTTAGAGCTTGGCTGGGAAGTCCACATAAGAAACCCAGACTCTTAGAGCACTGCAATAACCTAGTCCAACCTTCTCATTTGGCTTATGAGGAAGGGGAAGACCAGAGAAGAGTATTTACAGCAAATATGTGTCTGCTCAGCCTCAGTCCAACATTTGTTTGTATTGCACCATGAAAGGCCCATGGGTGGGACAGGATCAGTTAACTCTGAACAGCTGGGGCCCTAACAAGTGACCCCTGAGAGTAGGGGGCATTGCTGTGGTCTGGAGTGGGGGGTTGGGGGGAGAGTTTCACAGAAGAAGTGGGTCGTGGACCACTGAAGAACAGGGGTTTAAAATGTAAGTTATGAAAGGAATCAGGAGAATGAAGTGAACCATGTCTGGATGGGGAAATCTGCCGGGGTTTCTTTGGTTAATACATAAACTTGATGGAGTTCACGCTGCATAAGGCACTCATCTCCATCCCTTGACGCCATGCTGGTCAGGCCCTGACTCCTGCCAACTACCCTCACGTCCACTGCCTTACTTCAGGCCTCTCATCCGGGCTATTCCAAGAGCTTCATAAATAGCATCATAGATCCTCTCTTGCTGTCACCAGAATGACCCTTCCGCTCCTACACAGCAGCCATCTGTGGCTCCCTACTGCCAACACATTTGCACTCCTGGCCTTGGCGTCCATGGCCCTTCCTGATCTGAGGCCTGCCTACCTCCCAGCTTCCTCCTTCTCCTGAGGCTCTCCCCACACACTGACCTCATCCCTCTACATCCCAGCTGCAATTCCCCACCAAGCTTGTCCCTGAAGTGCCTCCCGCCCATTACCTTGGAAATCCCTTTCCCCAACAACTACTTACACTTTCCAATATACAGCGTAAGTATCGCCTCCTCCATACAACGTGCTCTAAATCCACAGCCATTCCTCCCTCCTTTACCCTCCTCCACAGGCCCTTTCCTTCGTTGTCATGCTGCATTTTAATTCTGCAGCAGTGCCCCTGCCCTGGACCTGAAAGGTGATAGGCTAGACTCTCTCTTGTCAACGTGACATCACCACCACTCCCTGCAAAGACAAGAAACTACAATTCCCAGAATCCCTTTCCCTACAGGGTTCCAGGTTACTTTGCCAATGAGAGATTTAGAAGATGAAGTGAAACAAAATCTATAATTTTTATGAGATCATAACAGCCAGACAAGGAAACTCTGCAGACACACCGCAAGTTCCCACTTGGACACTATGGGCCCAGATGTGGCAGCTTCTTGGACTTTCCATGAACCCTGGCTTCTTCTCTACTGCCTCAGGCTGCAATCAGTGACGATTATTTTCTCTGATTCTCTGGCTGCAGCCTCCCAGATCGTCACTCTCCCAGCCCCCTTATCATTCGTGCTAGCTCCAGTTCCTACACTGAACCGCTTTATTCCTGCATAGTCTGTAGTGGTTTGATGCTGGAGGGGTATCCTGAACTGTGACTCTCCAGCACAGTAGACTCTGGTGCGTATTAGGAAGTGCTGCAGAAGACACTGGTGAGGGATAAAGGTGAGCACCAAAGCAGCCTGGCCTTCCATCTCAACGTGCTCTTTCTCTTCTTCCTCTTCCAACCAAATCTCTGCCACACCCTCAAATTCTGGCTTGTGAGACAGGCAGAGAACCTGTGAGGAAACTGCATTAAAGGCTGGCTGAGATGTGTACTAAAGGAACACGCACGGACATAAAGATTGGGCTTTTAATTATAGAAACATTTGGTAGGAAAAACCATATGAAATCTAATTTCACATTTAAAAAAAAAAAAATCTCACTTCCTAACACATTCTACGAGGCCAACGTCACCCTGATACCAAAGCCTGACAAGGACAGCACGAAAAAGGAGAACTACAGGCCAATATCCCTGATGAACATAGATGAAAAAATTCTCAACCAAATTTTGGCAAGCTGAATTCAGCAATTCATCAAAAGGATCATACATCATGATCAAGTGAGATTCATACCAGGGACACAGGGATGGTTCAACATCTGCAAATCAATCAACGTGATACACCACATCAACAAATTGAGGAATAAAAACCACATGATCATCTCAATAGATGCAGAGAAAGCATTTGACAAGATCCAACAGCCACTTATGATGAAAACTGAACTAAATGGGGACAGAAGGGAACTACCCCAACATAATAAAGGGCATATTTGACAAACCCACAGCCAATATCACACTCAATGGGCAAAAACTAAGCGCCATCCTCCTGAAAACAGGAATGAGACAAGGATGCCCTCTATCACTACTCTTATTTAACATAGTACTGGAGGTTTTGCCCAGAGCAATTAGGCAAGAAAAAGGAATAAAAGGAATCCAAATAAGGAGGGAAGAAGTGAAACTCTCACTGTTTGCAGACGACATGATCTTATATATAGAAAACCCCAAAGAATCCATTGGAAAACTTTTAGAAGTAATCAACAACTACAGCAAAGTTACAGGGTATAAAATCAATTTACATAAATCAGTAGCATTTCTATACTCTAATAACAAACTAACAGAAAAACAACTCAAGAACACAATACCATTCACAATCGTAACAAAAAGAATAAAATACCTTGGGGTGAACTTAACTAATGAAATGAAAGACCTATACAACAAAAATTACAAGGCTTTTCTGAAAGAAATGGATGACGACATAAAGAGATGGAAAGACGTTCCATGTACATGGATTGGAAGAATAAACATAGTTAAAATATCCATTCTACCTAAAGCAATCTACAGATTCAATGCAATCCCACTCAGAATCCCAATGACATTCTTTACAGAATTAGAACAAAGAATCCTAAAATTCATATGGGGCAACAAAAGACCCCAAATAGCTAAAGCAATCCTGAGAAAAAAGAACAAAGCTGGAGGCATCACAATCCCTGACTTCAAAACATACTACAAAGCTACAGTAATCAAAACAGCATGGTTCTGGTACAAAAACAGGTGTACAGATCAAAGGAACAAAATTGAAAGCCCAGGAATAAAACCACACATCTATGGACAGCTAGTCTTCAACAAAGGAGATGAGGGCATACGATAGAGAAAAGTCTTTTCAACAAACGGTGCTGGGAAAACTGGAAAGCCACATGTAAAAGAATGAAAATTGACCATTCTTTTTCACCATTCACCAAAATTAACTCAAAATGCATCAAAGACCTAAAGGTGAGACCTGAAACCATAAGGCTTCTAGAAGAAAACGTAGGCAGTACACTCTTTGACATCAGTATTAAAAGGATCTTTTTGGACACCATGTCTTTTCAGACAAGGGAAACAAGAGAAAGAATAAACAAATGGGACTTCATCAGACTAAAGAGCTTCTTCAAGGCAAAGGAAAACAGGATTGAAACAAAAAAACAACCCACTAACTGGGAAAAAATATTTGCAAGTCATACATCCAACAAAAGGTTAATATCCATAATATATAAAGAACTCACACAACTCAACAACAAAAAATCAAACAACCCAACCAAAAAATGGGCAGGGGACATGAACAGACATTTCTCCAAAGAAGACGTACAGATGGCCAATAGGCACATGAAAAGATGCTCATCCTTGCTGATCATCAGGGAAATGCAAATCAAAACTACACTAAGATATCACCTTACACCCGTTAGAATGACAAAAATAACTAAAATAAATAGTAACAAATGTTGGAGAGGTTGTGGAGAAAAAGGAACCCTCATACACTGCTGGTGGGAATGCAAACTGGTGCAGCCACTATGGAAAACAGTATGGAGATTCTTCAAAAAATGAAAAATAGATCTACCATATGATCCAGCTATCCCACTACTGGGTATCTATCCAAAGAGCTTGAAGTCAGCAATGCCAAAAGTCCCATGCACCCCAATTTCACTGCAGCATTATTTACAATAGCCAAGACATAGAAGCAATCTAAGTGCTCATGAACAGATGATTGGATAAAGAAGATGTGGTGTATATATATATACAATGGAATACTACTCAGCCGTAAAACAGAACAAAATCATCCCATTTGCAACAACATGGATGGACCTTGAGGGAATTATGTTAAGTGAAATAAGCCAGATAGAGAAGGATAATCTCTGTATGACTCCGCTCATATGAGGAATTTAAAAATGTGGATGAAGAGAACAGATTAGTGGCTACCAGGGGAAAGGTGGGGTGGGGGGTGGGCACAAAGGGTGAAGGGGTGCACCTACAACACTACTGACAAACAATAATGTACAACTGAAATTTCACAAGATTGCAACCTATCAACTCAATAAAACTTAAATTTAAAAAAAAAAATCTCAACTCAAGAGAGAATGGGATCCAGGAAGGAAGAATGAAAAGCAGATGGGAGAAACTTTCAAAACAGTCCATGGCTAAAAACAACATTTATTGAGCAATTACTAGCCCAGAATGTGGAAGGAACTACGTGTGGTGCCACTTAGGAGTTTCGAGTCAGCCTGGGAAGTCCCAAAGAAGAAGAGAGTGAGCAGAGAGCTCTGCAGAGCTCTGAAGGAGCCTGGGATCTGGCCAGCAGGAGAGGAGTCCTCCGGGAGCCCCTTCCCCCAACTCAGAGGGCAGGAAGATGAGATGGAAGTCAAGCCACTCCTCTATTCCTAATGAGCAATATGAACACAGATAAATGGAAAGGACTGGTCTGATGTGACTGAGAACCTCTTTGGAAGGTTTAGTCTTTGGTCTCTGGCGACCTCAGCGTCCTCATATCTCTCCAAGTTCTTGGTCCAACCCCAAGTAAACCATGAGAGCAGACAGAATTTTGTTGTTCTTCCTGCCCTCCCTCTGCCCCGCCCCCTAACATCTTATTCCAGGAACAACAATTTGAGGATGTGGATGGGGACAAATGTCCCTCACCTGAGCCCAAATTCGTTAACCCATCCTTTAGCATTAATGGAACATGATGATCGGACTGTTCCAGGAAGCGCCTGGATGAACTCTGCAACCCATACTCACCCACGGCGCACGCTACTGCCACTGCCCCTTCACAGACAGGCTGCAGCGGGCAGCGGGAGGACAGAGACCTGGCACTCAAGAAATGGGGACACTCTGAGGAGCAACAAGTAGCCATCGCTGGCCCAGAGCCGCTCACTTACCGGGAATGGGAGACAAAGTCATACACGGGAATCTGGACTGTTTTCCCTTCAGTGATTTCTTTCAGTGTTTTGAAGATGAGTTCATTGTCAAAGGCATCTGAAGGAAAGCAAACTGTTAAAATGTTTGTTAATTTTAAAATGACTTCTCCTATAATCATGCACAGGATATCCCTACAAACCTGTATTTCACATATGGATATCACAGCCTAGAGGAGCATATCACCGCCCCACCCAAAAAAGCCGGATTTCTACCCAAAGCAGAATGCAAATTCTCTGTGTCTCAAAACAGAATGTACAAATAAATTCTCAGAAATGGATTTCTTTTTTCTCCCTTGACATTGCTTCCTTGGCCTCAGACACCTCTCTCCCCACTCAAAATTCAGCTGCCCTCCCCGGAACTGGCACATCAACCTGGACAGCCTGCCACAGTGAGGGGAGTGCAGCAGGCACCGTGCCAACAAGTTTTGATTCCAACAATTATACAAAACCCAAACCAGCTAAAGGGGCAGTGTGCTGATCTAGGACTGTCAGGGCAAAAGTCATTCAGGCCGCCATCCTGGACCATCCATCTCCCTCTCTGCTGGTCAGTGAGTTTCACACACATGCCATGTGCATGCGTGTGCAGGGTGGTGGGGGAATGTGTGACACAGGCTGCTTCAGATCAGAGCAGGCAGAAGAACCAGCCGTGTATGTTCTATCCTGTGTCTGGCCCATCTTGAGTAATAGGGCTCACAGAGAGTCCCCCCTTGTTCAGACACAGATTCGATCAGTATTTAAGGAGCCAAGCACTACGTGACGTGTTGCAAAATTCCTTCCTTCCCATAAGCCCCACCATAACCCTGCATGTACCTATTAGTCCTCTGTTTTGTAGATGGGAAACAGACTCAGAGAGGTTAAGCAACTTCCTCAATCAACCAACACACATACTCTTTCAATTCCCCAACTCACCCGGGTGATCAAAATTGAACTGGCCCTTCAGGGCTTTGGCCTTCTGCTCTGAAGTGAGGACACGGTAGAAGCTATCCTGGCTCAGGATGACCACCTGCTTCTGGCGATAGTCCACCTCATTCTGTCCCAGGAGCTGCACAATCTTAGCACAGACGGAAGACTGCAAGGAGAGAAAAGAACACCAAGGTATACGGGGAAGTCCAGAGTCACTAAGCTGAAGCGCATGCCTGAGCGAGGGCTTTTAGAAGGAAGAACCCAAAGGCTGCCATCTTGTATGATGGATTAGAAGGATACACCTGCTGAGAAGGAACTCTGGGCCTCCCAAAGACTCTTCCTCCCCTTCCTTAACACAACGTACTACTCTTGGGTATCTGCAGGAAAGGCAGGGAGAGGGGAGCAGTAATTTCTACCTCCTCTTCCATAAAGCCTTTCCCAAAGCCACTAATAAAAAGATTACACTAATTTATTCTTTCCTGCTTGTGCCCTGGCACAGATATACAAAAAGGGCAGCAGAAAGTGGAAAGAGGGCACATTGACAATGTACGGATAGGCCACAGGGCCTCTGGGTCATGAAGTGACTGGGCATCCACGGGACATCTCTCAGCCCCTCCACATCTCTCTGTATCAAGAGAATCAAAAACCATAGCAGAGAGCTCAGCTGGTCAGCAGTAAGGCCAAAGTCGCAGCTTTCGTCCTACTTCTGTTACTTCCGCTCTAGTCCATGGCCATGGACTTCTGCACCCTCACCGTAAACCACATGGCCTTTTCACAGATGTGTGTCACCACTTTCAGAGCTGGAGTGACATGGAACACAAGCATCATCAATACCTAAAACAAGTAGGGGTATCCCAACGAAGAGTGGAGATGTCAGTTCCAAAGGAACTCAAACCCACCTGCTTAGTGTCGTGTTGCTAGTAACACACATATCTACCTCTTTTTATCTCCAATAACATATACTCCTTGTAAAAGGAAAAGTATAAAAACAAGGGCACTCAAAAGCATGAGATAGTGAAGGACTGTAGTTACCAAATAACACAGTTCCCTTTTTTTTCACTTGATACAAGGATTAATTTAAAAACAAGAATGTCCACATTACAAAACCTCTAGAAGCTATAACCCAAGCCTCCTTATGGAACTGGTTGACCTAATTACAAGAGATGAAAAAATTAGCACAGTTAGAGTTTCTTGGGCTCAGCCTTAGGAACCTTACCATAACATTTATTTTCCCAACTGATTTTAACAGGGAAAAATCAGGAAACTTTTACAAGTTAACAATACCTTTTTTTGTTTTGCTGGGAAAGATTCGCCCTGAGGTAAGATCTGTTGCCAAGCTTCCTCTCTCTTTTTTTTTTTCTTTCCTCCCCAAAGCTCCAGTACATAGCTGTATATTCTAGTTGTAAGTCCTTCTAGTTCTTCTATGTGAGCCGCTGCCACAGCACGGCTATGACAGATGGGTGACATGGTTCCACACCTGGGAAGTCAACTCAGGCCACCAATGTGGAGTGCGCCGAACTTCAACCACTAGGCCGTCACAGCTGGCCCTAAAAGTTACTATTCTTATAAAGCTGTGTGTTTGATTTGTCCAAGCATAACGGAAACTGGCCATTCCTGTTGCACTAGTCAATGCAAATTAAACGAATTTGTACAATATGTTCTGTTGCACAAGTTGTGACACACATCGAATAAGGATCTTCAGAGGAACAATATTTTGACTCAGTTGTTAATTATTTGAAAACTATTCTACTTTTCTTTTTGACATTTTTGCATATTAACAGAGAAAAGCATTTAAAACTACTTAGGATTTTTGAAACAGCAGAGATGTCATAAAAAATGATTGGAAGGTAAAACTCAAACTAGATTCAAAAATGAAAATAATAAACAGAATCAAAGGCTCTATACAGTTAGAGTCATGCACCACAGAACGACACTTCGGTCAACGACGGACCACGTATACCACGGTGGTCCCATAACATTAGTACCGTATACCCTAGGCGTGTAGTAGGCTATACCATCTAGGTCTGTGTAAGGACACTCCCTGGTGTTCGCACAACATCGAAATCACCTAACAACACATTTCTCAGAAGGTATTCTCGTTAAGCAACACATGACTATATAAAGCATAAGTTTTTAAAGACATGTAGGACCATCCTAGTTTCCATCTACTTCTTATATCCTAAGGGTATAGGAAGGTGCAGTCTATACCTGTAACCTTTACCAGTACACAGAATTCCTTCTAAAGGTCCAAAGAACAAAAATGTAAAGAGGGATTCAGGGAGCCGGATATAGATATCCAGTTATTCAAATCATGGTATTTTTTATTTCTAGTTAAAACCTACTACATGTTTCTTTTTAATATGAATAATAATCCCACCACTGCCCCCGAGAAAAGCATATAAAGAAGTTACACTACTTAATTTTGCAGACAATCATTTTCCTTAACCCAGGCACAACCCAGGACAGAACCTATACAATGGGCCAATAAAATTGGGGTAAACAGCAGACAATAGGTGTAATTCTAGAAAGTTAGTGCTTATCACAATGCTTTCTTTATCAAGGGGAAAGGCCAGCTGTTTTGTTGGTTCACAGCTTCCAAGTCTCAGTCCTATCTTTTCAAGGACTTGATTGGTGTTTCTTCTTTCCGCAAACACAGCCTCTCCAAAAGCTAACATTTTCACCGATCAATTTATTAGGTGTCAGGCCCTAGGCCAAGCGCCCCGTTACAGCCACCCTTAGAAGTCACAAGAGCTATCCTTCATAGATGTGGAAACCGAATTACATGACTTGCTTACAATCATACAATCCTGGTTCTTTTTCCCCTCAGCCTAAAGGTAGTAAGAAGTTCCAAGGCAGAAGAAACACTTTATCACTCAGGAGACAAACATCGCTGCATAAACAAGCAAAGAAACACTTGCCTCTAGATTAATCTAGTATTTTCTTCTTCCTGAAACTTGTTAAAAACGGGCCCCCCAAAAATCTAGATAATTACTGAATCAGGACATCTGGTGCATAGGAGTTCATTCTATTAGTCTCTCTGCTGGTGCGTCTGTTAGAATTTTCACACGATTGGGAGGAAGAAGCCCTACAGAGGCTCCACTCAGCATGAGTGAATGGCCTTTTCCTTACTTAACGCCCCCCTTTCATGTCTCCTTCACTTTCATTTCCCTTTTCTCCAATCCTGCCCTCTTCAAAAGGATGAAATGGAGCTGTGAGGCATGTTGTTCCCTTAAGGAAGGAAATAATTCATTAACGACAAGGGTTTGACAAGGCAGGCAGTCCTGAGGTTACAGAAGGCTAAAAATGGAAGAGGGTGCAATTGCTATGGTGGGCTAAGACTTAAAATAATTACAGTCACAAAAAGACAAATACCGTTTGATCCCACTTATGTGAGGTTTCTAGAGGAGTCAAATTCATAGAAACAAAGTTGACTAGAGGTTGCCAGGGTCTGGAAGGAGGAGGAAATGGGGAGTTCAATGGATGGAGTCTCGGTTTTACATGATGAAAAAGTTCTGGAGATGGGTTGCCCAACATTGTGGATATACTTAACCCTACTGAAATATATACTTAAAGATGGTTAAGATGGTAAATTTTATGTTACGTATATTTCACCACACTTAAAAATAATAATTATTATAATCAGAATCCACATGTAACGGGCAATTTCTTCCTATGTGCTCAGTACTGGGCTCAATATTTTAAAATTACGTCATTTATGTATTACAACCATATTGATGGAAATTATTAATATACCCACTCTACTTATGTTGAAGACTGAGGTGAAGAGAGGTTAAATGACTTGCCCAAGGCAAGTGGCAATGGAACCAGGATCCCAACTGAAGCAGTCCAGCTCCATCCTGAGCCCACCCTCTTAGCGGCTGCATCTCACAGGCAAAGTGATACTGCCCACTGGAGCTGGGGCTAAGCTTAATTATGCAGAATATCTCCATATTTAGAGCAATGCATCCAGAATATATTCTGTTCCTGCCACTTCCAGTACATTATTTTAAAGCAGCGTGGGGGGATAAGCCAGCTAGGACTGTGGGTTGCTGTCTGCATACAATGTTAAGACCAGGTCAATATGAGGTCATCTTTAGAAAAAGAGAGGGAAAAAGATCATATTGAAGAATCAGTGAAGGTGATTTACAATTTCTTCATTTGTATGGCATTTTGAAGACATTATGCTCATTTAATTCCATTACAACAAGATGTTATGATTTTATCTTTTTTTTCTCCCAATGAGGAAACTGAAGCTTAGAGAATCAATCACGTTAAATGACTTGCTCGAGGTCACAGAGCTGAATCTCAAACCACAGACCTTCTAATTCCAAATGCACAGTTCTTTTCACTCTTCCAGAACTGAAGCAGCTTTTGCAGCATCTCCAATAGTCTCCATAAACTTACTCCACTTCTGGAGAACGATGATGGCAGAAGGAGACATGGAGGAAACTGGTTAGAAATATAATACTGTTTTGTCCCACTGTAACATTAAAGTCAACATTTACATTAAATTTCATTGACTTTCATATAACTAAAGGTAGGCAAGTAATTTGTATATTCAAAAGCTCAGGGCTGGCCCTGCGGCCGAGTGGTTAAGTTCACCCGCTCTGCTGTGGCAGCCCAGGGTTTCGCTGGTTCAGATCCTGGACGTGGACATGGCGTCAAGCCATGCTGAGGTGGCGTCCCACGTGCCACAACTGCAAGGATCCACAACTAAAAATATACAACTATGTACCAGGGGGCTTTGGGAAGAAAAAGGAAAAATAAAATCTTTATTAAAAAAAAAAAAGGACGCTGGAAGTACGTACACACACACACAAATGTTGAAGGTATTTGGAACCTAAATCTGGATTATGTTCATAAGAATCCAGCTGTTGGGAGCCAGTAATTATGGGGGGGCAGAGAATTCTCTGAAGAAAAACCTGTAGGACTAAATCTGATAAGCATCTCTGGTGATGGGAAGCAACCCACAATGACTTTAAGATTCCTTCCAAGCGCTGTGATTCTGTGACCAGGCCAACATTCAACTTCATAATCAGGCCAGTCCACCAGATGTGCTGGACAATGTGCCAGATTCCTTTCTCAGAGACACTTCCCATTCGGGAAGCCCCAGGAACGGTCAACTGCTACTCCACAGGCCCTACAAGCTTGCGGTTTCCAACAGGG